CGATTTTTTCATGATGCGCCATCAGAGGAGGCGGTTTGGAAGGTTGTCAAATGGCGGGATCGAGAATGAGTCTGAAATGGTTTGTTCTTGGTGCGGTTTTTATGGCATTCTCATTTGGATGAGATCCGAGCCACCTGATACAATCAGAGTATGGAAGAGATCATGTGTGTGGAACAGGTCGAGGGGCTGCTTATCTTTGCCGGCCACTACACCCGCGTCCAATTCCGTGTCTACAAACCTTAGTTTAGACTGATCTACCCCAACCTAGTGATTAATTTCTGGGGAAACTAAAAAGCAGCAAACAGCACTCAGACACATGAGAGTGCTGTGCTGATTGCATAGTGGAAATGAGCATTCTATGCAGGTATTTGCATGCCGACTAGTAATCACTATAGTTGGGAAGTGTTTATCGACAAAGACAAGTACACTGGAGTGGCCCCTTATCAGCCAGTTATAACCCCACGCTGTGCTACACGCACATCCTAGAGTCGAGTCCTGGGTCGGTTAGCAGAACATTTCACGAGACCTTTACGCATGAATTCGAGATTTTTCGTTTAGGTGGTCGTACTGTCACAGCAGATCTTTATCGCAGTTTTGGGTTTTTATTGCTTGTTCTTTGTGATCCGATCGTGTAGTTGTATGCCGATCCCAGGATACTCATACTCTACCTCGTGCATTAACTCACTGTTACGCAACCTGCCGTTAATAGTTTCCCATTGCCTGCACATTCCCTGAACGTGTTCTAACCTGCTACACACTTTGCCACTTCTGCCAGTCGTTATATGCAAATTGATGCATGTCGAAACTGACATGTCAGGAGGTTTCTGTTACTATCGCCCAGAACGTAATTCAATAGATAGCCACTGGTGTATTGCTTACTAGTGCTTGCTCTAACCTGACTGAATGTTGCCATCTATATAATCCCTCTAGAGGTAACATTCCCCGGCAGTGCATGCATGTCAGTTTACCTTCGACAACGTATTGTCATACAACAGCTACATCCAACTGCACCAACGAACCGTTAGTGATCGTGCAGCCATGATGTGGATCCCCACAGAGGACACCCTGTACCTACGCAGCACACACGATACGAAGGTCTGACCGTCGTAAGCAAGGACTTTCATTTTTTCGTTGATGAACGTTCACCGACCGCTAGCGCAACTTACTTGTCTCCCTCAGCCTTTGTCTTGGGCCTCATTTCTCGGGCCCTGACGGCAGGCATAGCAGCTAACAGTATAAGCAAATAGCATCGTCCGCAAACACTAGGGAGACTTGAATGGCCGTTTCTGAGTTATTAACCGTCGTTAGCCAGCCATACCCAGACCCAAATGGTGCATCACCCGAGCCGCGAACTCGAGGCCTTTTGATCACAGTCTAACGTCCTTACAATTGAGCCACGAGCTCGTTGTCTTGCCAGTTTAGATCGGCAGGTTGGACACTCGTTGATGAACGTTTATCGACCGCTAACGAAACTGATTCAGGTCCTTCTTGCTCGCCCAAGCTTACTCCTTCCCTCCTCGCCTATGCATCAGTCAGCCGTCTCAGCTACCTGAGACTGGCGATATCATTGGGCGTGATGTCTGACAAAGTTAAACAGCGCTTCGGTGTGTGCCACATTAAACACACGATCCCGTCCACACACACACACACTAAGTGTATCAGGCAGCTCTGATCTCATCCAAACGAGAATGCCGTAAAAGTCGCACTACAAATAAACCGTTTCAGTCTGATCCTCGATGCCACTATTTGGCAACCGTCCAATGGCCATCTGATGCCGCATCGTGAGAAATTCAAACGCGTTTCTCTCCATCGTCCCATAAAAATAATGGTTCGTCCGACTTAAGCCGACTTGGAAATTGGATTGACTGCAATGGATAACAAACTAAACAGCCATTTAACGCGAGATATTGTAGTGGGGTCTGGACGTCATTTTATAGTGAAGATTTCCGGATATAGGCTTATGAGATTACCAAACGTCCTGGGGTAGTGGATAGAGAATGGAAACTGTTTGAGAAAGATTAACCAAGAGGAAACTAAAAATGTTTGTTGGAAAGTTTGCATACTTCCGTCAAGGCAGTAGTTTAACTTGTTCTTTTAAACCCTTTATTGGTCGATGCAGAGCTTAGTATTATTTTATATTTAGCTAATTAAAC